ATAAAACATGTAGTCCTCAATTTACAACAGTTCACTTAGTGACCATTCAAAGTCTTAAAGTGGGGCAAAACTTGTTTAATGAATATCTCACTTAAGAGCACAAATTTTGTGGTGGTAAGCTGAGGACTACCTGTATAATAAGGCAACACAGAGTTGCAACAGGATAGATGTTATAACTGAATACAAGGATAACTCAAAAGGAATGGGAGGTGATGATGTCACCGCCCCTGCTGGAATGAGACAGAGGGGAGGAAACCCCGCAGGGAATCTTGGCGGGAGAGCCATTAAACTCTCAGGGAAAGAGAGTGTCTGTCAGGAGAGACAAGAGCCTGTCAGAGGGAGGTAGTGACCACAATATGATTGACTTTTGTCTCAACATACGTCCACACAAAAATCACCACAATGATGTAATCCCCAATTGTAACTTCAAAAAAGGCAACTATGATCTTATAGACAACGATCTCTCATCCCTTGATTGGCAATCTCTATTCACTGGATGCAATACCGTTGAAGACCATTACAACATATTTTTACTTGAAGTCAAAAGAGTCATCAAACTATATGTTCCAACAACAACTCCCAAAACAAAACAAAAAAGCAGATTACCCATATCAATAAGGAAACTTCAATCCAAAAAGAGATCACTCTGGCGGAAAAACAAAACTGGTCACGTTGCCAATTTCAAAAACCGATACAAAAATTTATGCCACCAGATAAAGACCGAATGCACCAATTATCACATTAAACAAGAGGAAAACCTTCTAAGCACCAATTCCACCAAAGCTTTTTACAATTTTGTAAACAACAAACTAAAAGACTCAAGGTCCATCCCTCTTTTGATAGGACCTGATGGTAAAGACTGCAACGACGACACCATTAAAGCCAACATCTTTAACACATTCTTCGGCTCAGTATTTGTAAACAGCAATGGATCATGCCCAGTATTTCCTAGCCGTACCACAGATAACAACAATGATCTAATACATATCGATTTCACAGAAGACAATGTTGAAAAATCACTACGCAATCTAAAACCATCTCTATCTATTGGACCGGATGGAATATGTGCCTACTTCTTAAGAAAGCTATCCACTGCCATAGCCAAACCTCTAAGCATAATCTTTGAAAAATCTTTCAGGACCAGCTCCTTGCCTAACCTATGGTCACAAGCCACAGTCATCCCCATCTTCAAAAAGGGAGA